CTTAAAGTTTTTGAAAACATCGAAGAATGACTGTGCGAGAATCTTAGCATAATTCTGATTAATCGAATCTCGATTTGTTCATCAAGCCGGAACCAAGTTAGGAAGCCAATTAGATTTCGAGTAGAAAGTCGAGATCGAAATCACGAGATCATCGAATTTAATATTTTTTTTTTTTTTTAATATAATCATCCGCGCGCGTGTTTTCGATTTCGAGAAAGTTTCACGCGATCATTCTTTTTCCCTCCCCTTCTATTTCGAACTGATTTCGTTTCATATAAACTAGTTTCCTAGAGAGTTTCGTTTTACAAACTCCTTCTAGAATTGCAATTTTCTCATTGACAATTTTACTTGTTACGCATTCCCTAACGACAGCTTTGCTTTCTCTTTCGCTCAGAGGCAGAACGTAAGACGTAAATCATACGGAATACGAAAGAAAAGAGCTTGGACAACTAATTTGCTACGATCGGGAGAGGATAATTTAAAGGAAAGGTAGGAGCAGTGTGGAAATATTGGGTTACCAGAGTTTTACACCGGAAGAAAATGAGAAAAAAAAGTTTGTCTGATAACGAATTAGCATTAATAATGATGATAATAATTTTCTCAGCCTCTCGAATTTTTCTCATTATCCAAGTATATTTTTCGCTGAAACTACAATTCAAACAGTAATTGATAAAAGTTAAGAAAAGTTATTATTCAATATATAGAATTAAATATATTATTTCGATCCATCTTTATTATTTTTGCTTATTAAAATTTACATCGAATATATTTGAACTTTAAAAAAATACAGGAGAAATTAATTTTGGACATCGAATATAACAAGTGTTAAAAAATGCAGACATTCTCTCGCAGATGCCATATAATCCGTCGTCACATACATTTTCCAAACGATCGGCTGCACGGAGTGGATAAGCATCAAAGCTGAAATTATCCACTATGCCGAACACACTTTTTCAAAAATCACCTCACCTCGAATGATAAATTCACCTTGCAGTCGAACGACCTAAATAAACAATCGGTCGTGAATTACCGCGTAGGCCCACGCGACACGTGTTGGCAAGGGCTCATTCGCGAGGCGGTTTCCTCGTCATTCGTCCCAGTGATTTACGAACGAGTCGTCCGCGGCGCTCCTCTCCGTTTCCTAATGCAATCCATTCCGCTTGGCCGGCCTCCGGCCGACAGATAGGGCACCGATGTATAAATTACTCTCGGGCCAATTAACATTGTCGCCGAACGAACGAGTGGACGCCGAGGAACCGGATTTTGAGCACCGTCGTCGTTACACACACGTGGGGGTGGCTCGAGCTCGAGATTAATTGAGACCTTGGTCCACCGACGTTACGTGGTGGCGTTATCTGGAAATTCCACTCGCTTGAGAACCCGATTAATTAATTCTGCGCACGAATCGCACGCAGATCGAACTTGAAACGATGCGTTAAGCTGCATCCCCACCGAAATAACGACTTTTATCGCTATTTCAAATAATTTATAGAAACATTCTTTTCAGATCGAAGCAACATAAAGATAGAAAAATAAATATTTATCAACGTTACAACATGATTTACCGTAAATCGATGTGGAAAAAAGAATTTACGAATAGACTGGTTAAAAGGGAGATATATATGACGCCATTATGGAAATTCTCCTTTTAGAAGATTTTACGCCTTCGCAGATAAACTCGATCGAACGCGTTATTTAATTTCATTGGACGATAAAGTACACGTTTAAAAACGATAAAATTTTGTGCTAATCTCTAAAATATTATCTCGCACGAATTTTAAAAAGATACTCGCGTATCTTAATCGTAGGCATAAAATTACTCAAGACTAAAAAAAATGAGAAAATTTCAATTATATATATATATATACCGATTGGTGATATATTTAAAGAATACCAATTAAATCCTTTAATTCGATCTTCGAACGAATAACAAACACGATAAAACCTCTGATCCCTTTTCCTGTTTCGTATCTCAACGAAAATTCTCAATCTTCAAGACGACGCTTTTATCCATTACACGAGTACACATTTACCGCGTGTTCGTTAATTTAAGGAAACTCGCGTCTAGTTGTCCCAACGGAGAAAAGATGATGCCGGCAACACCGGCAGCTTCTCTCCGCTTTACCGATTACGCGATATTTCATTGTCTCGTTGAGCATTGTTGCGCAATTATCCACGGCCCGTACACCCTTTTGGCGAGAGTGGTTGCGTAACGCCGTGCACGATTCACCGGTATACCCATTTATAAACCCCTTGGTCGCATTGACGATCGGTAACTTCTCGTTACCGCGATTGCTTCTACGAGAGCGGCCATTTCTTAACGGGTCTCCGTACACAGGAGTGCAGCACAACGTGTCGCGTACACAAGTATCTCCTCGGCCACTGTTCCGGCGGAGAGGTGATTTAGCAGCAGCGGCAGCGTCGCATCGTGTACCATACTGGCCGTGGATCGCCAGTCGATTTCACGTGTCACGTGGTTGTATTATCGGTTCTCGGAAGGAAGGCATGCCTCGTTACACTACAACGAGCAAAAGGGTGACGTTTTAATCGAAGTTGTCAGTTCGACAGCGAGGCAGCAAACGGTTTCGGGAAAGGGGAAAGCGCTCTCTGGAGCGCGCAGGTAGGATTACGCGTGACGCATGCGCGGAAGGAGTACGTTGCGTACGGAACGTGTCTTGCTAAACTCTTCCTAGGAAAGAATTAATCGTGTCGTTGCAAATCTATTTCGATATCGAATATATTTTATATATAATCCTCGATATTTAACGATTAATATTGGAAATATGTAATTTGATAAATTATATTCGAAATTATATCGATCGAATTGAACGGTCATGTGATCGATCGTAGCCTGTTTCGTTACGTACGATAGGGTCAAAATCGAATACGCTGAATGTCTACCACCCGCGGTTCCCGATAATAACATAAGTGAATATGAAGATCTTGAACGAAGATCGTTTAGAAACGGAAGATGAATCGGAGTACGAACAATTCGATCAGGAAGCTCTCTCGCGTGGTCACATTGGGAGAAAGGGCATTCGTCTGCGTTCGTAATCGTCGTCTTCTCGCAACGAACAGGATCGTTTAATATTCTTTAACCATTTTTCCTCGCTCGCTAGACAACCGAGCGAGGGAGGGAAGGAGAGCTCGAACTTTCCCTGTTGATAGGTTCGGCGTAGAGGGAGACACGCGCTTCGAACGAGTTCGAAAGATTAGCTTCGACTCGCTCCCACGCCTCATCTCTTTATCGCATCATCGCGGCTAGATTGAATCTCTCCCGCTTCCAGACTTCTCTCGAACGATAAAAGCAAGTCGGTCCGCGCTGTCGATCCGCGCTCGCCGGCGAAAACATGCAAACTCTGTTTGAGGCAGACTTATTAAGGAAGAGATATTCGCCTCTCTCGTTTCCGCGTTTTACATTGAATATCTCGCGTATTCTCCGTGGAGCCAAAGTGGAGAATTGATGTCCTCGCGGACGAGCCGCTTATCGATTTACCCGTGGAAGACCCGTAAATCAGGGGAAATATGAACGAAACCGAGAGATAAGCACCTGATGTATTCGCGGCGTGACGGTGAGCGATGATGACGTTAAATACGATATTCGAAACCTCGGTTTTTCAGCTTCGCGTGGCGGCGATGCTACGTGCAAGGATGATCTATGCGTCCCGCATTTTCTGAACGATTATTATTGATTTAGTAGTCTTGACCCGTGCTTTCCAACTTGCCGATTTACAGTTATCATTTGAAATTCAATCGGTTCGCCTTTCGGTTATTTACGACGATTTTATTCAATATTGTTTCAATATCTAAATACTGAAATATCCGACTAATTTTTGCAGAATAGAATATTCCTTACAAAGGCTGACAAAGTTATCGAGCGAAATATTAACCCTTCGTTTCAACGCAATTATCATCGAACACCGAATTTCGACAATTCTTTTTTCTTTTTTCAAAGCGAGATCCAACGGTATTCCTCCGCGATATCTCACCGCGATCCCTCCTCGCCGAGGGATGAGGTTTCACCCGAGGAAGCGTAATCCGTTGCTCGCGTGCGAGAGGAGTCCGGGATGAACGGGTCCGTAAGTCACCGCCTCGTGACTCACGTTCCACGTCCGTGTGTGTGTGTGTGTTCGTTGCGTTCCAGCGAAAAAAGGAGGAAAGCAGGAAGTGCCGCGCGCGCGCATTATGAAATCGGAGATATTACGCGAGGAAGTTGTATTCACCTGGATCTTATGGGCCACACTCGGCCAGAGGTGGTGCTGAAGCGTGGCGTAAAATATCATCGTTATGCACCGCTCCGGGTTAATATCAGCCTTGGCAAGGCGCCGTGCCGCGATATTTACTATAAGCCCCATTGTTTTATGCGGCGCTGAACGCTGCCCGACAGCCGCTGATACAGTTGTAGCGGAGCGGCGCACCTCAGCGCTGCTACCGCGGAACTCCGCCACGCGTTGCGAAATCGAATTGAATGACCGCTCGCCGCCACGCTGTGTGCGCTCGCCTTCCCTTTTTTTTATCCAGCTCCCGATTTTCCCATCGTAGATCAACGCAGAATTAATCAGCTTCTTGCGAAACAGGCTCTCGCTCGTGACGCTTGGCCCAAGAAGCCTCTCTCTCTCTTTTTATTCATATATATAGGAGGCAAGCCCCTTTCGTGTAATTTGACTTCGAGATGATGCAACTATGTTTTGCCCGTTTAAAGTAACGAAGTTTCGAGGAATAGAAGGGAGGATGGGTGAAAGTATTATTTCACTTCTCGAGATTGTTGAGGGGGAGAAAGAAATCCCTTGCGCGAATCCTGATAAATGCGGCTATTCACGAGCACCGAAACTCGAAGATAGATAATAAGAAACGATCTCGTTTCGGGGAAACAAAAATTTGGGATAAAATCGGATCGAGGTATTGAATCATCATCCACTCTTCTGGATTAAAGGAAGAAAAACTTCGATTCGTCAAGTTGTTTTGATTTTTAGCATTTTCCCTTTTCTCTTTTTTCTCAGGTAATACCGGCAGAGCGACGGGGCCCAGAGAAAGAGGAGACCTGGAGCCTGGCCCCGGACCAAAGCGACTCGCTCTTCGACGACGCGCCCGACGTGAAAGTTAAACCTTCGACCCAAGATGTGGTGGACAATCCGCAATCTCGGATCCTCGATCCTGGCGAGGCCCAGCCAACCAACAATCACCAACAAGAGCTGCACCTGGCGGAAACTGGAACGTTGCCACGAAGCCAGGAGACCAGGAAGAGCAAGACGAAAAAGGTGAAGAGTTACCTGAGGAAGTGCAAGGGTGCTCTGTCGAAAGGTGACGAGGTTCCCTCCGAGAAGAAGCGCCAGGAGCACTGTACCTCGTGGTATCTGGACGAGTCCCATCAAGAGGACGTCCAAAAACAGTCTGAATTCCCGGACAACGAGAGGATCGCGGAGGCGGAAGAGGCCTTGGAAGCGACCGATCCTCTGACCGATTTCTCGAAGGAGGTGGAGTTGGAGGCCAGTGACGAAACTCTGGCGAGGCTAGCCGAAGGTGGCGAGGTGAGGAGAAGCCGGACGTCGTTGTACGAGGATGCCAGGGATTCCATGAACGACAGGGAGTCCGAGGGGAGCCGCTGCAAGCGCGACGACGCGACCTCTCTCGAGACCCTGACCACGGAGGAGATCACGAATTTGAACAAGTGTGACTCGAACGACACCCTGATAGCTGCTGAAGTGGCCGTGGCCAGCGGCCCGCCCCTCGTCGAGGAGGGAAAGGAGGAAGAGGAGACGCTGGACGGCGAGACGCTGCGCGCCTTGTCTCTGTTCGGGGTGAGTGGACGTATCATGCTATTTTCGCAGCGAGCGCGAGATCTCGACCGATAAAACAGATAGCGACCGAGACACCAACGGCGTTCGAAAAGGAACGCCTATTTGAATACAAAACTTGTTGAAACTGTTGCAACACACATACACAGAGGGGGGGATAATTTATGCTTTTAATGGACTTGTGCGCGACGACTATGATTAAAGCCGGCAATTTCCAGGGATAAACGTGTTTTGATGATTAGGTTTGATGATTTATCCTGGGCTGCGAGACAGACAGACACGTTGCGTTGAATCAATGGATGTACGATTAATAAAATTCGGAGTTTTGTGGAGATGGGATAGATAGGTTGAAATATTTGAAATAATTGTTTTTTTTTTTTTTCGTTTGTTCGTAAATAATTAGATTGGAGATTTTTAAATACATATTTTTTTTTTTACATTTTTCTAATATTAATTTTATTTCTATTTAAATGTTATCAACATATTTAATCGTATGTCATAATAGAAAAAAGAGATTGATATTATATATATTTATTATTTAATATTTTTTCAAATAAACAATAATAATTATTACTACATTATAATAATACATAAATATTTTTGTAGAGAGATACATGATATAAATTTCATTGCGACATAAAAAGTATTAATTTTAATATTACAAAATTATTATATACGAATTTCATAATTTTCGATAAATATCACAATGATTCTTTTTTATATTTTGATTAAGTAAATAGATATTTTTTCGTTTCGTTAGATTCCTTTCGAATTTCACATTTTTTCCCCAGCTTTCGATCCTTTCGTCTCGCATCTAAATTCACGTGGGCGTAACGCGGCGTGAATTTGTCTCGTTTATCGATCGTGGTTTATCGATGATAGTCGGCGTGGCAACATGACTTGCCACGGGATTCGAGTTCATATGCGGGCCGCTCGATTGACAAACGACGAGGCTGGGCGTTTCGCGACGCTTATGCCGAAAGGTGCGCCACGTTCCTCACAGTGCAACAATGTGCGCGCCACATGCTGCGCCGGAACGCTCGTTGATCGTCTCGGAAAAACGTAAAAAGCTTGTGGTGGAACGAACGTCCTCGTTGGTAAATGCCACTCGACCGGTGGTAATTGAAGTTTGAAACGAAGATGGAGAGTTGTGTGGTTTTTTGTTTTCTCTCTGTTTCTTGTTTTCGTTTGAGAGATTGGAAAAGTTGGTTGGATCGTTCAGAGCGTGTCTCGATGAAATTTTACGAACAGATATTACATAATGATATTCGAATTGGTTTTGGAATTCTTTGAAGCATTATTTAGAATATATTTTTCACGTTAGAAAATTATTAAAGTCTTGCAAAGTTTCAAAATTTATAGTATATAATAAAAGTTAAAAGTGACAATGATTCTATAATAAATTTCTTTCTAACCTTCAAATTTTGTCTATTATTTAAAAAATTTTTAGAAGATTGTAGAAAAAGAACACTTATTTCAAAGTGTTCTAATTTTTTATTCAACAAAAATTCTAACCCTCTCATACAATACACGCATCGCCATAAAAATCCCATCGCGCTTTCACCCAGGAAACAATCACCATCGATCCACACAATGCGCTCCGTGCCTTGGAATCGTTTCATCGGTCATTCTTTTACATTCTTTCATGGTAACAGGAACACTCGAGGTGTGGGCAGGCACACAGCATTCCGCGCTATGCAAATCGATCGATAATTGATAGGGAATAATAGCACAGTACCCGGACGATGTTTCGATTATTAGATGCAGTGTGAAACCCAAACATGGTGGATTTTTATGAAATGTTCGCATGGCCCGTATAGAAATACAAGCAGCGTCTCAATATTATTTTATAATTCGTTAGAAATTATACTAAAAAGATACTAACAAGATCCCAAAATATTAGATTTAATAATAGATAAATATTAAATCTTGACATATAAAAATATAACAATTTTCAAA